ACCATGGTATATATTATGTCATAGATTTATTGTCGAATACATCCCAAAGGATTACAGTATAACAATCCATCCACGGCTTCGTTTTTGTCTTGATCGCGCACGCGGATAGCTAAACCTAACTTTGGACTATGTGAAAATTGAATAAAACATCAATATTTATAGTGAATTATACAGTAGAACTACTATAAAAGATCAATTTTATCAACACGCTAATCTTTTGTTATTGTGTAGTGTAATGGTGAGAGAGAGAGAACCTAATAAGTTATGTGTAAACATATGCCTATGATGTACTGTATACAAAATTTATTAAGAGTGACTTCCCTTTTATGAACTCTTTGCGCGTCGTAGGTTACCGCTGCTGAAGAACTTTGCTGTTAATTGGTAAGAGATAATTTTATCGCTTCATAGGCAAAGCTGCAAATGATCCAAAACGTTGTTTTTGTCCTATTCTTCTGTCACTCGTTGGCTGTTCTCTGTACTGAAGTAACTTCCATGTTTCTACATGGTATTGTTCAGCAGGTGTCTGAAGTTAGTATGAAAGTTTAACAGGTGTAGGAGACATGAACACAACACGTTCAGGGACATTATGTGGGGGTCAACTCACTAACCTCAGCTAAACGTACGTACTGGTTTTATATTTCATGTCAAGCGGTAGAGTATGCACGTGCTATTTAGAAAATAATAATCTGGTAAAATACTAGTGACAATATACAACTCGGCTAGAGGGAACCTCCTTTCAGCTCGAGCGGTTGAGCTAGCAAACTAGTAAACCAGAGGTACCGCGTTCGAGTCCTAGCGGAAGAGTGAAATAAATGTAACAGAGGTCTTTATTATTTCAATGCTTACTAGTCTGATGCTTAATTAATCAAGCTAAAGAGAAGTTCTCTATAACTGAGCAAAATATTAGGGCTAGTATTAAACAGGGTTTCATACTCCCATCCAGGAAAGAGCTTGCCCTGACAGTTTCTAGGGGTTACAGCAATGTCTGTGGCACAATGACGAGTATTATTCCCCAAGGCCATACATGAGCACCAAGGTAACAGAGTTTCATAGCCTCTGCTAGGATTCCAACCTGGAACCCCTTGTTTACTAATCAGATGCTCAACCAATGAAGCTAAAGAGAAGTTATCTCTAGATGAGTGGTATGTAGCAGCTAATATTAAACAGGGTTGACCTATTTTACATTACTATTGGGTTATATTGTTTTTGGTGTTATTAGGTTGTAATGGGTAGTATTTGGTAATTATACGCACCCTCCAGTATTTTCCATTATTCCTTCTTAAATAAGGCTGGACCTATAAAGGATGGATGTGTACAATCACATGAATTGGATGTTGTATACCATGTGGAATTAAGTTGTTCAACATTTATTACTGAAATAGTAGTAATCGTATAGTAGTTCTTATACATGAACATGGCACATGACTACAACAGGCTTCTTGTGTTGACTTATGGCAGGGTTCTGTCAATCTGAAGTTATAGATTGTGGAATTTTACTAATAATGGTGAAAGTCGTATCAAAATTCTTTAAAATTCCATCCAATTTCTTTAAAACCCTTTAAGTATTCTTTAAAAGTAATGACACAGAACAATATCCCTGCTTTTGCAAACATTTTTGTCAATTAAACTCTCAACAGATGAAAGTTCCAGATGGCATCGGGGTCAGGTGCCCATAAGAGTAATGTTAAGGGCCTGGATCTGTCTGTAGACTGGGAACTTGTGACCTCCAATGGACCATCCCTGGCATTTCATGTAGGCTGTGCCCTTGGTAAGAACGAGGATTTCAGTTACCTGGTACATGTTGCATGGATCTTCGAGTACAATGTACATGTTGGTTATTGGTTCAAATGATTTTCTACATCTGTTCATGTTAAAAACTCAGATCACTCATTCATCTGTTAGTGACTCAAAGAATTTACACATCTGTTAGTGACTCAAAGGACTCAATACATATATGGACTGACATGATTCTCACATCTGTAACCGATTTGAATAATTTTTATCTTAAAGACTCCCAACGATAACCATATTGCTTAATGACTCAGATTATCAAGTCATCTATTAGTGTCTTAATTGTGTCACGCATTTGTCCGTGACTCAAATAATTCCCATATTTATCAAGGACTCACTCAAATGATTAATTCACTGCTTCAAAAGCTTGAATGTGACATGTCACATCTGTTAGATACCCAAAAGATTTAAACACACAGGTAAACATGACTAACGATACACGGTTTGAAATTATTCATTAACAGATAAACACATCCTTTATTGACTTAATTTTTATTAACTAGGATGACTTATGATCTAATCGGTGACTCAAATGATGCACATGTGACTCGAATTCAGATGATTTATGAATCTGTTCGTGACTGGGATAACTTATGTCTATTACTGAATCAATGATTTTTTTTAAAGAATCTTGTAATCAGTCCATTTTGTTGGAATGTGAAGTATTTCAATCTGCTTTTAAGAACAAGATGCTTTTCAATTCTGTTCTGTTTTACATATGTAGGTAATGGCATTTACATACATGGAGGCATAGAGACGAAGGATGGAAAACAGCCTTCGGACAAACTTTTTCGTTACAATTCTAGTTCGCAATCTTGGCAAGAAGTCCATGCTGCAGGAAGTCCTGCTCTTAGTCACCATGCATGTGTACCATTGGCTGGTAGATACATGCTTCTAATTGGAGGTTGGGATGGAAAGTCAAGGACAGCCAAGGTCGTGGCCTTTGATTCAGAAAAGCAACAATGGCTGCCACAGGAGACGAGTGGATTTCCTGGGGATGCAGGGCTAAGTTCACACACAGCTACTCTTTTGGCTTCTGGGGAGATCATTATTTTTGGACGAGAAGGCAGTTTACGTATGCAACGACGTCATGGAAATAGCTACATATTAAGTGGTAGTGTACAGTCAGGTCATTTTACCTTTAAAGAATTTACAAATGCTGCAGCTTCAAGATCAGGTCATACTTCAAACATCATCGGAAATAAACTGTATGTGGTTGGGGGAAGAGAAAATAATCTTATAGAAATTCATGACAGATTGAAAAGTGGAGAAAGTGACAACCAAACAATAACAACCAAACTATTAAGCATAGCAGAAAAGGTAACACCAATGTCTAAACTACCTGGCGGTAGAAAAAACCATATCACCATTAACGGTACAGGTGTTCTGTTCTTCCATGGTGGTGACACCTTCGATGGGAGGAGTCGTGAATCTGTCGGGGAAATGTTCCTCATAACATTAAAACCCACAATGCAGTTCTACAAACTAGGAGAAAGTAGAGTAAGACGGTCTGGACATATTTGCTGTATTATCGGTGACAAGGTGATTCTGCATGGTGGACTAGGTGGGAAAAATAACAGTCATGTTTACAGTGACACTTTCTCTCTGGAGTTTAAATAGGCCATGTTATTCCACTTACTGTTTTATTTTGGGTAATATCAGGTTATCCTGAAGAAATTTTATCACTTTGTAAATATATGTATACTTGTTTCATTATTTATTTATTTGTTGTATACGAACATATTGAATTTGTTTGATTTCAAAGTTACTTGCATGTGATATAATCTAATAATTCATAATACACACAATTAATAAACCTCAGAGTCCTTTTAACTGCCAGGGGCTGTTTGTTGAGTTTCTTTCAAAGCTGAGAGACAGACCTTCATGTAATGGTGTCTGTTGTTTGTTGAGTTTCTTTCAAAGCTGAGAGACAGACCTTCATGTAATTGTGTCTGCTGTTTGTTGATTTCTTTCAAAGCTGAGAGACAGACCTTCATGTAATGGTGTCTGCTGTTTGTTGAGTTTCTTTCAAAGCTGAGAGACAGACCTTCATGTAATGGTGTCTGCTGTTTGTTGAGTTTCTTTCAAAGCTGAGAGACAGACCTTCATGTAATGGTGTCTGCTGTTTGTTGAGTTTCTTTCAAAGCTGAGAGACAGACCTTCATGTAATGGTGTCTGCTGTTTGTTGAGTTTCTTTCAAAGCTGAGAGACAGACCTTCATGTAATGGTGTCTGCTGTTTGTTGAGTTTCTTTCAAAGCTGAGAGACAGACCTTCATGTAATGGTGTCTGCTGTTTGTTGAGTTTCTTTCAAAGCTAAGAGACAGACCTTCATGTAATGGTGTCTGCTGTTTGTTGAGTTTCTTTCAAAGCTGAGAGACAGACCTTCATGTAATGAGTTTCTTTCAAAGCTGAGAGACAGACCTTCATGTAATGGTTTGTGAGTTTCTTTCAAAGCTGAGAGACAGACCTTCATGTAATGGTGTCTGCTGTTTGTTGAGTTTCTTTCAAAGCTGAGAGACAGACCTTCATGTAATGGTTTGTGCTTCTTGTTGAGTTTCTTTCAAAGCTGAGAGACAGACCTTCATGTAATGGTGTCTGCTGTTTGTTGAGTTTCTTTCAAAGCTGAGAGACAGACCTTCATGTAATGAGGTCAATTGACAAAACACGATGGATCCCTATTGCTTTGGATTACATGTGACAAGCCTTCTGTACATTGTTTAGTTAGAAATGCAGCTGGTAACTAGCAGACATTGCTTCAAAATGACCCTTACTGTATATTGTGAAAGATTCTGATAATTACCATTAACCAATACACTTTAATATTTTTTAAAAAGTAAGAGGCAATCGCAACAAGCTCAGGATTCTGAAATATTATATATTACTGTTCATCTACTGGTTTCGCCCGAAACATAAGGGCTTCTTCAGGACATTTCAGAATCCTGAGCTTGTTGCGATTGCATCTTACCCTTTAGTTACTACTACTCTTCAATTGCCCTGCGTACCTGGAGGTATCCAAGCAAGGGACAACAGAACCTACTAAAACTTTACTAAAAGCACAGGGTTGGCTCTACACGTTTTTTTTTTTTTAAATTTTCAAATTTTTCAATATTTTTTAGTTAGAAAAGAAAAAACCATAAAGAAATAACACAACAGGTTTGATCTTTGTTGATATCTTCATTTAGTCAACAGTGCATAAATTCTGGGAGGGTGTATTTATGGTCATCCTGCACACTTAGGTACTAAACACAGGAGTGAAAAGTCTACATGCTCGACATGACATCAAGAAACAGGAGGTATATGTCAAACAAAATGTTAACAGGAAGTGACATCATAATAGTGTTGACAGGAAATGACATCAACAAAATGTTTTGACAGTAAATGACATGATTTTATATAGCTGACACAAGAAGTGGCATTGATCATATGAACCCTCAACAAGAAGTGACGTATCAAGAATTTTCACCAATTGACAAGAAGTAACATCATACAAACTGTTGACAGGAAGTGACATTAAATATTTTGACAGGAACTTTCATAAAAAATATTGTCAAGGAGAAATGGTATTGCACATTTTTTGTCAAAAAAAATATCTTAAAATGCCTTAATTTTCTCTATTGAGACATCTTTTCTTCTCATTTTCTATTTTCAGAGGTATGGCATAACATACATGGACAACAATGTTTAATACATGTTCACAGGAAGTGGCATAATGTACATTTTCAGGTTATTCTAGTGAATTGCTATGACATGAATGTACATGTATTTGATTTTAGCAGACATTGTACCAGATGTACGCACTATTTACAGAATGTTCATGGACTTCAACAACATTTACACTTAAATCTACGTGAATAAAAAACATGTTGCTTGTCAACAATACATCATCAAGTTAAAATTGTAAGTACATTTCAAGGTGGAAATTTTTTTGATGTTTTTTTTACAATTTCAAAGAATGGTAAATTTCTTCTTAACAGGCTCCAGTTTATTCTAGTGTTGTTTGATGTTCAAGACGCATGTTGTTTCAAATTCACAACACCACTAGTTAGTGTTATGCTTACAACATTTTTGGAAAGCAGGAAGTGCACATTTGAAATTATTTATCACTTCAATGCATTGTACAACACAAAAGTTTGATCAACAATCACAAAAGGCTGAATCTTTCTGATCATTTTCATCATTTTTTTTCTTTATAAAATTATGCTTTATTATCAAATACATTATATAACATTGAAATGATTTTAATAATTCAGTGCGGTTATACAATGAAATATACGATCTATTTCATCTGCGTGTACAATTGCATAGTCAATTTGCATCATATTTCTAAACACAGTTAAATAGTTTGTGCATGTACTACACGTGTCACGCTGATATTACAAAGTACTTGTCTCAGGACTCCCAAAAGTTGGTTTACAAGTCATGTGCACCATTCTCAAGACAAATAACCAGATGACATAATAATTATCAAATGAAATGTCAGTACAATAAATAGTGGTTTCAGAGATCTGAGAATTGTGACAGTTGAATAAAGTAGTTGGTATTCCCTGAACTTTCTTTTACCACGAGAAGCCACGATTTCATTCCGTCTTTATAGTCACCACAAGTTCTAAGAGATGGTGCATTTGCTTATCCTTAAGTCTACCCAAGGGGTAATCTTTGATTCGAAGTCAGGGGTTGAACTTATTACAAGGCCATACAATAACACATGGAGTTAATTATACTACCTGATATTATAAACTGGTACTAGGTTTATGACCAAACAAGGGCTTTCTGTTGTATAGACAAGGGCTTACTGATGTATAGACAAGGGCTTACTGATGTATAGACAAGGGCTTACTGCTGTATAGAAAAGGGCTTTCTGTGGTATAGACAAGGGCTTACTGATGTATAGACAAGGGCTTACTGATGTATAGACAAGGGCTTACTGTGGTATGGACAAGGGCTTTCTGTGGTATAGACAAGGGCTTACTGATGTATAGACAAGGGCTTACTGATGTATAGACAAGGGCTTACTGTGGTATGGACAAGGGCTTACTGTGGTATGGACAAGGGCTTACTGTGGTATGGACAAGGGCTTACTGTTGTATGGACAAGGGCTTACTGTGGTATAGACAAGGGCTTACTGTGGTATGGACACGGGCTTACTGTGGTATGGACAAGGCTTACTGAGGCCAATCACTGTACACATAATCTCTGTTACAAAAATGAGGAAGGGCTTGTATCAAGGTAATGACAATAAAATGGTTCACCTTGTAATGAAACCTCATTTGATATATATGGGCTTATCACTAGGCATGGGCTTATCTCAGAACAAATAACAGGAAAAATATGGTCAGTAAAATACAGAGGCTAACTGACAAGAATCTGTACAACATGAACACATTAGCAACACCATTCTAACATGCTAGATCTACAAAAAAATGAAACTTGCTTGACAACCCATATCAATTTGACAACAGGAAATGTCAAACATAGTTTGACAACTGGAAATGTCAAAAATCAGTTTGACCATTAGTAATATCCAACATCAGCTTAATAATTAGCTAAGTCTAACATCAGTTTGACAACCAGCAATGTCTAACATCAGTTTGACAACTGGCAATGTCTAACATAAGTTTGACAACCAGCAATGTCTAACATCAGTTTGACAACCAGCAATGTCTAACATCAGTTTGACAACCGGCAATGTCTAACATCAGTTTGACAACAGGCAATGTCCAACATCAGTTTGACAACAGGCAATGCCCAACATCAGTTTGACAACCGGCAATGTCCAACATCAGTTTGACAACCGGCAATGTCCAACATCAGTTTGACAACCGGCAATGTCTAACATCAGTTTGACAGCCAGCAATGTCTAAGATAAGTTTGACAGCCAGCAATGTACAACATCAGTTTGACAGCCAGTAATGTACAGCATCAGTTTGACAACCAGCAATGTCTAACATCAGTTTGACAAACAGCAATGTACAACATCAGTTTGACAACCAGCAATGTCTAACATCAGTTTGACAACTGGTAATATCCAACATCAGCTTCACAACAGGTTTGTCCTACAACTGGAAATGCCCAACATTACAACAAAAACTTAACAGTAGCTGTAACAATGAAAGTGTAACAATGACTTGTAAATAATTCAAACAAGTCAATCATTTATACGTAAACTTGTCATGTACAATATTCAAACTACCACCACAAACATATTTTTATTATCATGATCAGAAATAAAGAAGCTAATTAAAGTATGTAACACTACACCATCATTTTTTTTTAACAATTCTAAGAAAGAAACAAAATTGGCTTCTTTTTCTAAAAATTGATTTAATGATCAAAAACAGGAGCTGATAGCAATGATAAAAAAAACAAGACATGTTTTAAACTACATTCAAAAATGTTAAGGGACTTCTCTCTGCTTGCGTTTACATGAAATTGTATACAGCAACTTGTGAGTTGAGATTTCACCATTTGTATTTATATCACTGTCAGCGAAATCATCCATGTGTAGTTTCACTCCTAGTTGATGACAATACCACAACTCTAGAAGTCATTTTACTGGTAAATTGGAAGCTAATGAACAAAAACAAATTTAACTAGTTTTGTACAGTCTGTTGTCATGGATTTTAATACTTCACGAACACTTTGTCACACAATATTCTCTCAACCACATAACATGCATATACTCTGACTTAAGACATATATGTAAATAAACACAAAATTGCGATATAATAAATATCATATATTGTAACAACAATTCTCTGAACTCCAGGAGTTAAGCACACTATATTGCTCTCTGTACCCTAGGAACATTTCATGGCAAAATTGAAAGCAAAAGCCAAGTTATTTGATTGGTCTAGGGTAGATTCCTGGGGAAAAAAACCTGGACAATTCAAAGGCTGATACACTCTGTAAGTATTACAAAGGAGTGACATCCAACTTCAAAGCCATTACAACATATCCTTATGTCACCTCAAGATTTCTTTGATGTACATCAAAGGATCGAGCTAGTGTTGGCGATATGGTGTTGTACATGAAACCTTCAATGTTGCCATGAAATGTTCCAGGGGAGCAGAGAGCAGTAGTGACTGTCCTTTGGAGAATCCAGGATGGGTATAGGTAAGCATTGCATAATGTAGCTCAATCATGCTTGAAATTGTTGATGAGCTGTGAAAACATAATCAAAGTCAGGACATTCACATACTTCTTTTTTTGCCAGAAACTAGCAATTTACAAAATATAAAAAATCCTGAATAAACATGTATCTTTAAAATTTTCTGATGAACAAGCATTTTATCACAGCATTCTCATTAAATGCTGACTGTTGGAAAAAGAAGGTTGTTATTCATCAACTTTGAATTGGTTGGTTTTTTTTTTACAACAATTTGATATTTGATCAGCTATTTCTTAAAAACCATCCAGTTGTTTGAAATCTTAGTGAGAACACCAACAATGTAAAAAACGATCGAAGAAGCAGAACATCGAGACAATTGTCTTCATTATGACATTACATGACAATATGACATCACATGACATATCACATGACATTGACTACCGATGTCACAACAATATAAGAAGGTTAATGAGCATACTTATCTCCCCTTGTGTTATCAGCGTCATAAATCTTACATAGAACACAGACTTAAAGACAGCCAACCACCATTTACATAGTGTCCAAAGCCCTTGTACAAGACATTTTCTATACGATTGAACAATTATTTAAATATCACAACATATGTATAGATAACACCAGAATGAAACGTGATGTTTAATTTCACCATTGCGACTAGAAAACAGGTACATTTATATACAAATTATTCTTAGTACCATTGCATTAGTTCTATCATGATTGACGTTCCAACATGTCATATGATTCATCAACAAACTGTCCAAACATAGGAACAAAATTAACAGTTTCTATTTCAAATATTCACAAGATTAACATACAATTAATAACTTACAGGGTTTCTATATTTTTGCATTGAAATAAATTCAACTTTTTGGTGTCTTATGAGAATACATGTATAAGACTTTATGAGATAATATGAAATTCATTGTTTCTCCACATTGAGAATTACAATTATAGAGTTATCCCCCTTCAAAAGACGCTAGGGTACATTATGAATATTATGATCAAAACCAAAACCAAGCCACATGAACAAGCAGTATAAACGCCTCAGTTATGTAATACAATGTATATTTATGTCCATGTACTATCAAAAACTGAAAGAAAATATAAAGGGCCAGGTTTCTTGTATAATTTTCCGGAGGAAGTACTTTGGGGAAAAATGATCTCTTGATTATGAAATCCAAGGTTGCTTCAAATGTTCTGATCACTTATGCACTGACGTTCTGTTGTAATGTGTGCAATCAAGTGTGACAATTACCTTCAGGCCATTAACTCTTGTAACAAAGGTTCTAGACACACCTGCAGTGAGGGATGATGTCTGTTGGGATAGTTGTTTACCTAACAACAGCATGTTGGTTCTACCCTATGGGATGTTCTCCAGCCTCCAAAGCAACATTTCATCCGTTAGCGTTGCTGAAACAAAAGCTCCAATGAGCTTATGATGTATGTTAAACTTGTAAACAGGTGAAATAAACGCTAAATTTCATTTTCATTGCTGAAACAAGATACATGTCATTATCTCTTTATCCCACTAAGTAGGGCAACCTTGTGTCAAAGTTTGCCTTCATTTACATGACTACAAACATCCAAAGAAAGTGTATATACAATGTAATATCATCAAGTCATCACATGACCTCATTAGTATACACTATGTACATCCCTGATTAATATAACTAGACTGGTTGACAACATCAACCAATCAAATTAGCAGAATTTTTCTACATCAGACATGACAAGAATTTTATAACTACAAGAATACATCATTAAGCTATCATCAATTTATTAAATTTATTAGTTTGTTAGTTTGATATATAGACCAAGTACCCAATGAAATTCAAAAAGATGATTCAAATTATCTTCATAGCAAAGTCCATAAATTTTTCAGAAATGATCAATTTCAACAGTAAGGAACTGACCAATCAACAGAACTCATGATTGAAAACTTGAAACAATTATGTTTCTAAAAGAGAACTCTATAAGAATCTTATGTAAATAGAAACCTTGTTTAGTTTTAAGTTATGAATACAAATATTACATTATCTTAAATCTAGACAAACTTTGAAGTTTACTTTGCTCAAGGAAGAACAAGAGAAATTAAAGTGACTTCAAAAATGAACCATTCACAAGAGTGTACTCAAAAAGACAATGTCTATAGCAAATACATAGGATGTTGGGTTACCTAGAATTTCTCAATAACCTGCCTGCAGATTAACAGTAATCTAAACACAGAGACATCCACACTAGCCATTCACAATCTTGAAGCACTTGAAATTCTATATTAACTTGGGACTGGTTTCTACATATTTGTATTAGGAATATTTCAACAATAACATATGGAATCGTTGTCCTCGATTCGCCAATGTCAACAACACGTGCAGTTTGGCAGTGACGGCATGATATTGACGTAATATCACAATTTGCTGGATCTATCATATTGGCCAAGTGTCAGAAGATGTCAGGGCATTTGGACCAGTCTCGATCCCAATAGTTGCCTTTAAATAACCAGTCCTCTTTGCCTGTGTGTGGGTTTGTTCCAATCTTGAAAAATCTAAAACAACCAAAAATCATGATGTTACAAACTGCCATGATAATTTGTATAACTTAATGTGGTAACAGCTTAAATATCTACAAAAGACAATCTGGATATTTCCAATCTAATGACAGTTTGTTCCTCATTTAAAAATTCTTCACAAGTGTTTACATGTAGGATTTTGTGACTTTTATATCAACACTGTTGAATTTTTGTGTGTGCTGTTACCATGTTTATTAAGTAATATGTCCACGCTTGGTAATAAGCCTGCTGCCTGATTTTGACTAAGTGGATTGGTGCAGGAAACATGATACACAAGATAGATACACTCCCTACTGAACTCATCATCTCAAACTTTAATTTTCAAGTTATCTCCCTTCCCTCAGGCAGTAACTTACACTGGTATCCATTCATCCTTCTTTCGTTTTCTCTCTTTCCGTGCTGATCGTTGTTTTTCTTCAATCCGGTTCTTTTCAGCCGCAGCAGCATCTGAAAACAGAATATTTTTTCAACATACCTTTGAGTAAAATGGTTCATCAATGCTTGTTAAAAAGAATTTTATTTGGCATCAAAACGAACTTTTTGCAAATGATTTAAACAAGGAAATATTTCTGTGAATATAAGGTGATACTGAAAAAGTTCAAAACATAAAAATGAAAACCAGAGACTTCAAGAAAATCAAAAGACAGAAACAGTGAACCAATAATTATAGAAATATACGGTAAAGATCATATTATACCGAGAGATGGTGTGTATACAAACTGACCAATCTGCCCCTCCTCTAGAAGACGAATATCTGGCCGAAAACGTGAGTCTGTTGGTGCTAGCTGTCCTGCTGTATCTGGGTTCAACTCATTCAAGGCCATGGCAAACAATGTAAAACTGAAATACTGTAAATAAAGAAAAAAACCTACAGTAAAACTTCTTCACATGTTTCATTAAAAAAAACCACTTTGGCACATTTAATACAATACAGCACAACCGAAAAGTCGCACCCCCCCCCCCCCCCCCCCACCCAAAACACCATCAACCTAATTAATAAACTTCTTCCACCATAATTTGAGGTGATTTACTTTCATGTTAACAAATAATTCTTTTTTGAGGTTGAATATTCAGCAGTGTTTTGTGCTAGGGATGAATATATCTGACACATTTTGATTCTGTATGCCGTAAAAATAGCATGGAACAATTATAATACAAAGTTTATCAATTATTAATGAAAAGACTTTCAAACCAAATTTTCACACATTCAGATTCCAGCAAATCTGTCCTAAACGGAACAGATTTACAAGAATCTTGATATTTAATCATTACCTGAGGAGATTTTTCTGGTCGTGGGTGTATTGTCCATATACACTCTTGGCCTGGAATGTGGAGGTCGTACGTTGATAAGCGTTTTGCTGAAAGGTCATCGTTTACATCTGAACTCCCACTAGCACCATTGGACTGAAAATACCAAATTTCATTGTCAGGAAATTCAGCAATGAAGTAAGTCTAAGTGCATAATGTGTGTACTGCAAAGGGGTTAAATTTCATGGGTTTTTCCAATTTTTGTTGATTTGTTGATATTCTTTATGCACTGTTTAATATGTACCTATATTTATAAACAGTTAGTTATGACTTTATGCACTGTTTAATATGTACCTATATTTATAAACAGTTAGTTATGTACCTATATTTATAAACAGTTAGTTATGACTTTATGCACTGTTTAATATGTACCTATATATATAAACAGTTAGTTATGACTTTATGCACTGTTTAATAGGTATCTATATTTATAAACAGTTAGTTATGACTTTATGCACTGTTTAATAGGTATCTATATTTATAAACAGTTAGTTATGACTTTATGCACTGTTTAATATGTATCTATATTTATAAACAGTTAGTTATGACTTTATGCACTGTTTAATATGTACCTATATTTATAAACAGTTAGTTATGACTTTATGCACTGTTTAATATGTACCTATATATATAAACAGTTAGTTATGACTTTATGCACTGTTTAATATGTATCTATATTTATAAACAGTTAGTTATGACTTTATGCACTGTTTAATAGGTATCTATATTTATAAACAGTTAGTTATGTCTTTATGCACTGTTTAATATGTACCTATATTTATAAACAGTTAGTTATGACTTTATGCACTGTTTAATAGGTATCTATATTTATAAACAGTTAGTTATGACTTTATGCACTGTTTAATATGTATCTATATTTATAAACAGTTAGTTATGACTTTATGCACTGTTTAATAGGTATCTATATTTATAAACAGTTAGTTATGACTCACTTTTCCAGCATTACTTGATTTTGTGAGCACTGCTATCTACCCAAGAAATCGAGTATCATGATAGCATAGGTTTTTCTTTTTTGGAATAAAAAAATTTGAACCCCATGAAAATAAATACAGTCGTAACTCATTACTTTGAACTTGTTTTAACTAGATGACCCATTTAAGTCAAAGTTTTTTTTCTGTTTCGGCCAAACTTTCGCCATACATTCGATCTCACTTAAATGAAATACTCAGATGACTTGAAGTTTTCCAAAAGTCCAGCCAACATAAAAACAACATAGTTTGACTGTATTACAGTATAAAATATCAATCCCTTGACAGAATGGCTGAAATCCCATTACACGAACATCAACAATGTTGGATGTAGTAAAAGGATGACTACATGGTATGCGGACAGACTACTTACTTTGGCAGAATGACTGGGTGATGTTGTCGATGCTGAATTTTTCATGTAATCGTCATAAGCAGCAGCATCAAGCATGAAGAGGTCATACACCCAACTCCCATATAAAGCTTTCCTCTTCACTTTGCTACAATAACAAACACAACCATCATCCCTGATGTCATATTTATTATTCTACCATCCCAAAAATTCTGATTTATCGGATTTATTGGTAATCAGTTAAGTTAACCAATTCAATTAAAATATGAGTAACCAGTTATGGTATATACTCAATGTTTGTCTGTTATGAAGTTCTCATTAGTTATTTATACATTTATCTCTAGTGTGATTTCACTATTGATACTTTGAATTTTGGCCTTATATTTCATGATGTTTTTAACCACATAGTAAATCAAGCTGACACAGCACAGTCTATATATTTATTTATTAAATAAACATTCATCAGAAATGATATCTGATTTATAAATTTAAGTAGTCTGGAGAAACTACCTCTCTTACATACTATCCCCAACCTCGTCCCACTTCACCCCCCCCCCCCCCCCCCCCCCAACATTCCAATGATCCCATCACTCCTTTCTTTCTGACCCCTCCCCTCCACACTCTTCATCTTTTGTTTGTGTGAGTGCAAGTGAGAACGATCCAGTATATAATTATCGATTAATGAATCAGAGTTTATGGGTTGTTCATGTTCATAAACTGTGTATGTTTATTTTATAATGTAAATTCTTCAAAAATAATAAAAAAAAAAATAAAAATTCTATCACCGCCTGTAATTTCTACTAATGATATAATTACAAATTATTTACTCTTTCAAAAACCAAACCATCTCATGTTATTTGAATTGTTTTCTCACAAGAACATACCTATTCAAACTATCTCCTAAAGATAAGCTGTGTCCCTTGGACAAAGCAACACTTTCCTCATTTCTGACAATAATGTATTTATATCTTATAGGTGTTCTATAACTAGTACCTGACAATTCGAAGATACAGATATATACAAACTAATTTTCCTGATAATAACAAACTCACCTTTTGTCATATATATAACCCTCAACTTTGTGTAGATCTTTGCCAAACCACCCAGACTGTTTGAAATTTAGTATACTCTTCCATCCCGTCTTATGACACAAAATTTCCATAACGCCATACTGAAATAGATGTAGCATGTACTGTATAGAACATAAAATACCATACCAACTGAATATTCATGTCTGACATCATCTGTTGAAACTTTGATGCCTGCTCTTCTATCATCACAATTTTTTGTCCTTGCAACAGTTAATACTAGTATGTAAATGACCTTAATCAAGGTTACAGAGAGAGAGGTCAAAGGTCAGAATGTTTAAGTTTTTATTCTTCAAATTGGCTGTAAGACATGGATGTAAAACCTGCCCGTTTCCCTCCTGGTACACCTGTTTTTGTTTATCAAGAGAGACCACTGTATGTGCGTAAATACAAGACTTACATCTGATTTTGTGACATATCTATTTGATTGTTTAGGTGGTTAAACACAAGCACGAGTACAAAATCTATGTCACTGTCGATTCTGAAGCACGAAATCAAACCATTCATCAGTATATACAGCTTTAATGACATCATAATTGAAGTTCAGTCAGATGTGACAGAATGATTGTATCTTGTCCACAATGGGAAGCAACAGACATCTACATCAGAAAACATACACAATTAAATGTTTCCGTTTCAAAAACCGCAAACAATTCGTATTTGTTTATATACACACTGACTATATACAGTGGTGAATTCTGGTCATGGTCTGCTTCCTGTAGTTATCCCAATATAGGCCAAGCTCACCCATATTTTATTATGAATATTTGTAACAGATTCGTTATGAATGTTATACCATCGCTTAGTGTTAAGTCTACTACTGCCTATATTGATGACAGAGTATGGGTTACTTCCCTTGGTTTATTACTGTTAAGTTATTGTTAGACAAAGCTTAAGCTGTCAAAGAGACAACACCAGGAATTGTACAATTCTTAGAGATGGAAAACCTGCAACCGACCAACTGATCAAAATAAAAGTCACAACAATTTATCAGGAAACAACCCTGAAGTAGTGAAGGGACAAAAGCTATAACTGGGATACCCAACTCTTATGTGATTTTATGTTGTGTTAAAAACTATTAAAAATATTCAAATTGATATTTTTCAAGGCTGCAGGTTTGAAGTTTTATGTCCAACTGTAAAATATCTTTTCATGTCTTGTATGCAGAATTCTATATCTATGGAAATACAGCCACCACAAAAACATCATCGACTGTCAGCAGAGTTTATTAGTAAGATAACACTTTATGGCCAGCAATACTTATAAAACCTCACTTCTCTGGTCTTCTATTTACAAGATCAACTTACACTAAACTACATTGTTTTATAATGGCTGGTTTCTGTAACAGCTGATCTTGTTCATTACCTCCCACTCTCATCTCTACAATCCATACAATAGATTTTCTGTCTTTCTTGATGAATTCTAATTTCTTTTTAATTATTCCACTGACTTGAAATGTACTTAATGGGTAATTTGCTCAGGAATGAAATTGACTAAGGCCATTCCCACTTGTATAATAAAGCCCCAGTATTATATCACTCCTGACTACGGAGAGGAACTGATACTATGTAGATAGGTACAAATACTGTGTGGATAGGTACAGACACTGTGTGGATAGGTACAGATACTGTGTGGATAGGTTCAGATACTGTATAGATAGGTACAGATACTGTGTGGTACAGATACTGTGTGGATAGGTATAGATACTGTATAGATAGGTACAGATACTGTGTGGTACAGATACTGTGTGGATAGGTATAGATACTGTATAGACAGGTACAGATACTGTGTGGTACAGATACTGAATAGACAGGTACAGATACTGTGTGGATAGGTACAGATACTGTGTGGATAGGTACAGATACTGTGTGGATAGGTATAGATACTGTATAGATAGGAACAGATACTGTGTGGTAAAGATACTGTGTGGATAGGTATAGATACTGTATAGATAGGTACAGATACTGTGTGGTACAGATACTGTGTGGATAGGTACAGACACTGTGTGGATAGGTACAGATACTGTGTGGATAGGTTCAGATACTGTATAGATAGGTACAGATACTGTGTGGATAGGTTCAGATACTGTATAGATAGGTACAGATACTGTGTGGTACAGATACTGTGTGGATAGGTATAGATACTGTGTGGTACAGATACTGTATAGATAGGTACAGATACTGTGTGGATAGGTTCAGATACTGTATAGATAGGTACAGATACTGTGTGGTACAGATACTGTATAGACAGGTACAGATACTGTGTGGTACAGATACTGTATAGATAGGTACAGATACTGTGTGGATAGGTTCAGATACTGTATAGATAGGTACAGATACTGTGTGGTACAGATACTGTATAGACAGGTACAGATACTGTGTGGTACAGATACTGTATAGATAGGTACAGATACTGTGTGGATAGGTTCAGATACTGTATAGATAGGTACAGATACTGTGTGGTACAGATACTGTGTGGATAGGTATAGATACTGTATAGATAGGTACAGATACTGTGTGGTACAGATACTGTGTGGATAGGTATAGATACTGTATAGATAGGTACAGATACTGTGTGGTACAGATACTGTGTGGATAGGTATAGATACTGTATAGATAGGTACAGATACTGTGTGGTACAGATACTGTGTGGATAGGTATAGATACTGTATAGATAGGTACAGATACTGTGTGGTACAGATACTGTGTGGATAGGTATAGATACTGTATAGATAGGAACAGATACTGTGTGGTACAGATACTGAATAGACAGGTACAGATACTGTGTGGATAGGTACAGATACTGTGTGGATAGGTATAGATACTGTATAGATAGGAACAGATACTGTGTGGTACAGATACTGAATAGACAGGTACAGATACTGTGTGGATAGGTACAGATACTGTGTGGATAGGTATAGATACTGTATAGATAGGTACAGATACTGTGTGGATAGGTACAGATACTGTGTGGATAGGTACAGATACTGTATAGATAGGTACAGATACTGTGTGGATAGGTACAGATACTGTGTGAATAGGTGTGGATACTTAATAGCTAGGCATGGATAATAAATGGATAGACATGGATACTATACTGATACCATATTGATTTTAATAAATGCCCCGGGGGCATACAATTTTCAAAGGAGGGGATGTTCCATAGAACACAGAATTTCAGGAAGGTTGTTCGGTGTAAATATAAAATTATACACACAGTCTAAAGCCACCATGTCTGTGTAATGCTTCAAACATTGTTAAACAAATTTGTTTTAGCATTGATGTAAGAAATTGCACTATTGTAAATATTGCTGTCATTTATACTCACAGTGACCTGTACTTGTGTATGAAATGACAATTAGACAGAATGTGTCAAGTGACGTTGTAATTAGGTCATGACCTAGTGTTCTCTCATCACTTGTATATCATTATGTAATATCACAATAATGTCAATCTATAGCCATTCTGATCCCAATTCGTCATTACTTCATCATCATATTGGGAACAAGAAAAAATCATGACATTTCCTTTAAAATTAAAGCTATCGCACAAGAAAAGGAAAACATGCTGCGGCTAGTGTGTTCTGTGTAGACAGAAAACATGCTGCGGCTAGTGTGTTCTGTGTAGACAGAAAACATGCTGCGGCTAGTGTGTTCTGTGTAGACAGAAAACATGGTGCGGGTAATGTGTTCTGTGTAGACAGAAAACATGCTGCGGCTAGTGTGTTCTGTGTAGACAGAAAACATGCTGCGGCTAGTGTGTTCTGTGTAGACAGAAAACATGCTGCGGCTAGTGTGTTCTGTGTAGACAGAAAACATGCTGCGGCTAGTGTGTTATGTGTAGACAGAAAACATGCTGTGGCTAATGTGTTTTTTTGTGCCGCAAGCATAAGCTGCTACTGTGATTGTAATTGTTTAACCACACAGGTGTGTCGTCCATATTCTCAATAAACTTAATGGGATACTCTCAGAGGGAAACGGTATGTTGTGCGTGGGTAGATCGCCTAAATGAAATGTTTTGTCTTTTTTTTAACTTTGTAAACCACCCATAGGAAGCTTTGAATGACTGACTTCCATTTGCCTTATGCAAAGGGTAAAACTTTCCCGGTCACCCGAATACCGGCTTGTCGTCTGTCAGTCAGCCATTCCATCAAGTTTATATCAATATCTTTATATCAAACAGGCCTACCACCTCCTTTACAACACTTAGATGTTTTAGCAAGGCTTTGAAATTTATCTTTGTGTTGACACTGACAGTCGACAAGCCGGGCACTCATTTTCTTTGCATAACACAGAACACATTAGCCACAGCATGACAAAACATTTCTGATCTACCCACGGAACACATTAGCCACAGCATGTTTTCTGTCTACACAGAACACATCAGCCAAAGCATGTTTTACACTCGCCTGGAATTCGTCCTCCAGCAAAATGTGACATCCAAAGTATTGTAGTATTCATTTGTGGGGCGGGAGCATAGACATGGGCAAGTAAAGTAAATATTAAGGTTTGGCTGAAGAAAATTTGGGGTGTTAAAAACACTGACAAGTGATACTGGTGTGGGACTCGTTACTAGGCCATCTAGCTGAGGAGGTTAAAAAGCTAGCTAGAGAGCTGTATGAAGAGTGGTGTTTTAATGGTCCTGTGGAGAAAACCAAAGGTGGGGAATCAGAGGGCCCCATCTAAGGCAGTGATGTTGTCAAGGCTCAAGGAAGCTTGGAACAGTATTACTCCCACTGCTGTCAGGAAATCCTTATACTATACTGTATTACAAATTCACTAGACGGTAGCGATGAGTGTTTTTCATTTTGGAATTTAATTTGTTTTTTTTATTTTCCCATTTCATATTCATATGTATATGGACGGATATTTGACACAAGGTAAGTTTTGTGATCGTAGTTTGGGAAAATCACTTAGAAATAGGAGTGGGGGCATTTATTTGAATAAATATATAGTTAGTAAACAAGTTGGGTTGATGAAACACTATGCCACCGGTTGCAACAAAGTTCTGAAGTGGGACATTAAAACTGTACTGTGTAAGGCATGTGTTAATTACATTGGGAAATATTTTGTCTTCATTGTGGTAATGATTTTTTTTTTTATTTTAAAAATGTAGGTCAAAGGTCATAGTCAAGGTCACAAATTTTGGTACCATATGAAAAGGTCGTGTCATAATGAACACACATGCCAAACATGAAAGCCCTACCTCTTACAGCACAATAGTTATGAGCAATGCTAAAGTTGAAAACAAACAGACAGCACAAAAGCAACATGCCCCCGGATCCAAATCTTATGTGGAGAGATATGGATACTATTCCATCAAACACTATGGAATCAGTCATATAACCATCAAAATACTACTTTTTCTTAATATATAGATACATGTATTCTATTTTTGGATATGATTTGGTCTATTTTTAGATTTATGATGACAAATACATTCATGAATGTTTTACAAGGATAATCTGTTTAAGTTCCGTTTTTTAGGTTGTCTTTCAAAATGACTTATAAAAATATTGTTAGCATCAAAATATCTCTCCTGGTTATTTTGGACTGCCAAAATATGGGTGGAATACACCCAGTTTGTCTAAATATAGAGCATAGGGAATTCCGAAACTGAGTCACTGGATCATAGATATTATCCAGAGTATTGGGTAAATACACAAGTGTATGCTGTTCATTAAACTACTGGGGTTATTACTTCATTAGACTTATTTTCTGTTGATTTTATAATTTACACAAATACTTTTGTTCTGTTAGCCTTATGACAAAGCAAACCTGTTATAACATAATCAGGGTCGCGCGGATGTAAATTGGGCCAGATCTATAAAGAATTTACGCAAATTAAATATCATATGTTTGTTTATATTGTTAATTGAGGTATACGATTTCCTTAATGAAACAGATGAAAGTATATCATTTCGTACAGTTTTCTTCAACAGCATCCTAGGAAACCCTAATTGGGGACAATACACCTTAAAATAATATAAATATTATATATCCATCTCATTTGAATAACATTAACTTAGTGCAAAACTCCTTTCTTGAGTCTCATCCACTAAAAGGTCAAAAAGTCGTAATGGTGGACCTAAAACTTGTTAAATAAATAATGATAATATCCTTTCCTGGGAATGGACCAGACTGTCTTGGAAATGACAATCCAAAACAAACCTTCGTTAGTAATTAAGAAAAAGTATCCATAGCTACTGAAGTCTTGTGTTATCTTTTATCCATTTCATCAATTTCTAATCTTGTACCAGATGTATATACTCACGTGTTCTATCCAAATCTTGCCCACGATGACATTGTGGACACAACAGTTGACATTTGACCATGTATAAACCTCTCCATGTCTGAAAAAAAAAATAGTTGAAGTCCAGGTGAAAAACTATGCCAATGAATTATAGATTTTTTTCATCTGTTACATGATAAATTATCCTGATGAAGCCCTATTATAAGGGCGAAACTGGTAGACCAACTACCGAATAAAAATTCTGAAGAACCTGCCTCCAGCATATTGGATTGATTCATCCCTATTTAAGCTCACCCCTTCTCATCAATCCCCGGCATACCCTAGGGTATCCAGGCGGGAGGCCATGAACCTGCAGTCCTCCATTGATAGCATTGGCTTTATCCTTTATATATATATGATAAATCATCAATATGTTTTCTCCAACAGCTTCTCTGTCCAGACATATCACACTGTGTGCCAGATCTATCACACTGTGTAATACATACAATCCTAACACAAAATGATTTGTAGCTGAAAACAAGTAAATCTACCGATGTCTAAATTAGGGTATTATTATCAAAGCTTATTGAGCAAGCTTCTTAAGTGCCTTTAACAATAAGCTTGCTGAGGTATTGACATCAGAAAATCCTCTATACCTTTGAGTCAATCATCCTCATTTTCCCCCTGATCCACACATATTTCAATACTGTAAAATTATAATTTTTTGTGGGAGTTTTATTTTTGTTGAACTTGTGGTTACTTGTCAACCACAAATTTCTATGAAAGGATGATAAGATAAAATCACCACCAGCTTCCGTACAAGTGAATCGTTATGTATAAATCCCTAAAAATATGTAAGCAATCTTTTGTAGGCTTAATTCAAACAGGTCATCTGTTTGTAAAAATTCATTTTCAATTTGGCCACGTTAATTTGTGAGGATAGTGAGATCATTAACCAGAGAAAATCATCAAGATTATAATCATCATTTGTTCTGTGAATTCTATTTTTAGTTTTGATAAAATTCTACACCTACAACCAAGAGCTTCATTCTATTTGGAAAAAGAAACAAAAATGCCCTGTTTGAGATTTGGGTGAAGCACTCAATCTCAATTATGTCAAAATCACGATAAGATTATAAGATGGACAGATAGATGGTTTTATTCGCACTTTTTTGGGGGGATCTGACGATAAACCAGTCATCAGTTGATAGACTCCATTACAAACACCATCAACCGTCACCCGCAGTCTAAGCTGCATCATTTCAGGAACAACAAATGACAGAAAAAAACAGCGACATGTAATTTCAGCAAGATTCAGAAGAAAAATTACACAAATTCCCATCATATATTTAGCTGTATTTCCTTCAGACAATAAAAATTAATAGTTCACACTGATTAAAGGCCAATGACTCAATTTCACTCTCTAAGATAAAGTTTCATCATGACCATGAAACAAATACACTTTCAACCATATCAGACTATTTTTTGCTTTTGACACAACAATATCAAAAATTTTTAAAAATCAAATTACATCACAAAGTCTAATTTATATTCAAGAAGCCAATGAATTTAATGAAATAAATCCTCTTTCCCAAGTCAACATGGCAAGAATGATTCCATTAACAGTTAATTACTTCCCAGGAATCAGCATAAATAAAAATGATTTAAAGTCAGCAAATTGCCTATCAGCACTGGAAATGTGTTGTGTTACAGTAACATGTGGAAAACACTGAAGTAACATTACACTGAGTCTGGAACAAAATAAATCAACCTTGGAAAAAAAGTTGATAAAATTTTTGTTAAATTGAATTTTTATTATCTATCAAATCGTCATAACTACAGTGTTCACATTTGCAGCTGAAGCTACTGTTTTCCACCACAATATTAGCCATATCATAATTGAGATCTATATTTTTTTAAAAAGCTATTTCCCATTTCATCTAATCAGGTAGTTGAATGCATGGCGCAGTGGTAATGAGCCCACCTTTCACTCTCACGACCAGGGTTTGATTCCTGTAATAGACGTGCCGAGGCATATGTCCACACCTGCCAAAGTGGGTTTTCCCCAAGTATCCTCAGACTGGTTTTCTCTAACAGTATTAAGACCCCTTGCACACTGCCATTCATCCCAACAAATTGGAACTTTTTTTTTTTTTTTTTTTACAAAATTGTTGTAAAATAAGTTTAGTTTATTTCTACCTGATCAGATTTCAGTATTAAACTGATAAATTGTTAATCCAAATCTACCTCTAATCATCTTATTTTAATGTCTCTAATTTTCATATTTCAATTATTTTATTTCATCCTTGATGAAAATTATTTGTGTAATTTGTTTCATAATTGATGAAAAAATAAGTCAGCACAAATATAATTAAGTACAGCTATAATTCTGTTGATATCGTTTCACAACAAGCCTTATTTCCTACCTCGTAAGCTCCAGTGTGATCGTTCCCTTAGGGTTAATCTCCACTGACTTGCCCCAGAACTTCAGCTTCGGGTGGATGGACCCGTGGATCTTAAATTGTTTTGACTCCACAAGGAATGCACTAACAGGTGGATGGTGACTCACTTGTTCACCGACCAATCGGAATCCAAGGTCAGATCTAACAAAAAAATGACATATTAGAAAATTTCCCTGTTGAAGGAAGATCATGTATTATCTTACTCCTTAATGTTTCTTTAACAATCGAACAATGAAGAGAAAACAATATAGAAGAACCAACACACTATATGTCTCAGATTGCGACTAGGTTCCTGAATGGATACCAGAGGTGTTCTGTAGAGCTCCAGACAATGTGGTCAACATGAAGCGAAAATAAAGAATTCTCAACATCCAGGAACACTGGTTGTATTATTTACGGACTAATTCATCAACATGTTTCCACCACTATGCGGTCGTCATTAGGACAAATTTCACAAGAACTGTTAAATTTTCATCAGTATAAAAATTGTTATGTCTGTCCATTATTATGTCACAATTATCTTCATAACCGCAAAGTTCTACTTTATATGTCTTTGTATTCTGTAAATTTGTCCTGATGATGGCTGCATAGCGGTTGAAACATGTCGAAGGATTAGTCCATAAATAAAGTTACAACAAGTGTTGAGAATCCTTTATTTTTCGCTTTATGTCAATCTAACAATGGTTGTGTCTTATTCAGCACATTAGCATCAGGGGATATAACCAGTTTTATTCTTTGCTTTCCTGCCAAATTTCTATAAAAAAACAGTGCCACTTACACATTTAAACTGTATGGATATTTCAATATAAAATTAATTCTTTAAACCAGCCATCTGGAAATAATGGACAACTTCATATACAGATCTAGATTTCTTGAACATATATTATTTTAGCGTAAAATACAAATTTGACTTTTTTTTTAACTACTAAACTTTCCTAAACATTATATATTCCAAAAACAGAAACTCCTAAGAATTCCAAGCCTCATATTTTCATTTCATAAAGAATTAATTTCATCTCATTTGACTCTGAATAAATATCCTTATCTGGTCATGTTTCTACAAGCACTTATGGAACACAACATATTGTATCAGTGTACTCGTTAACCTTCAGTTTCATAATTAATGATGTGCTAATTTTCTGCATGAGATAACACTCAAACAGTAGCTTATATTAATCTACTCAACTTCAGGAATCAGAGGTGTGTCTTGACATGTATATAGATAAAGACAAGCTCTTTGAACTTTGTGTACTTAATAGTTTTTCTGTATACATTAAGTATTGTAAGTTTTCAGCCTAGTATATAACAGGAATGTACCCAGTTTGAATCTTTATTTCTTTGTTGTTGTAACATTTTAAGAATCTGCCATTATTTATCCTTGAATTAACCCATCGTTAATTCTATGACTCAAATTAAGGACGTGGACTTATTGTAACTACTGTTACACAAGAATATGACATTTCTACTAATAGACATGGGCTTATTATGAGAAAACTACGGTGGAAATATTTTCAAATAGTCACACTGCAATCATGGTGGGAAAATATCACAGTATCATAACATGTACATCATTCAGAGAAAATGCCATCGCATATAATGACCTGTTTAATTCGAATGTCTCCCCTAACAGTGGGTTGAAAGGCTTGCCTATCCTGTCCCAGTTGGAAGAAATAGCTGATACTGCAAATGCTGACACATACTGAAAAGTATAAAAAGAAGAGGTAACTCTGCACAAACAAGTTAAAAGTTGAAAAACTACAATCTTAATCTCGCAATTTTCTTTTGAAATTCTTTACAATGATACTCTATTATAACTCTTGTCCCGATTTGCTGATCTTTTCAGTCTATCTAAACAAGAACATTTCATATTTTTTATCATTGATTTGAAAGCTAAAAATGTTGCTAGGTTTATTTAGATCTTTGTGTTGGTTTACACTACAAATGTCTATGAAACACAGTGTACAGAAATGATGAAAGTCACTTGGATAGCTGTAAGCTAGTGATACGTTTCCCATTTTAAAATCCATCTTTCAGCATAAAAATGGGAAAAAATATTTCTTTATGTGTCGTTTGGTTTAAAATATGATCAACTTTTTTAGAGGAAAGGATATTTTGAAGACATGCAAATTATTTCAACCCTTATCAAAGCAGCATTCTCCTTCAAGATCATCCATCTACAAACTTATCAATACAGTTATCTCCCTTGGGTGTGAATTCTTCATATTAATGGAAATTCTATTGGTTACTTACAGCAAACCTCTCTGCAGGGTCAGAGGCTAGACTGGCCTTTTCCAGTAAAGATGTATATTCCATGTACTCAGATATTCTCTGGATAAAACTTAGAGGCTCATTGAACACAACAGGCATGGTGATCTTGGACAATTCCTACAAGTATATGAAAGAAAATAATAAATATTTCTGGAAATAAACAAAATTCTTTAAAGAAAAAATAAAGAAAATGAAGGGCTACAGGACCTGAAAAAGACAAGGTTAGCCAAACTTCCTCATCTTTTGCTTTTGCAGAAGGCAAATATGTAAATATCACTTGGAAAATCTAAGTTATTGATTACAGATAACGTTCTAGATTTTTCAAGCATGGAGCTTTTCGAAAATTAAATTTGAGAGAAAACTTTCCAAATTTGGGCATAAATTTCTATGATCATCTCTGTATTTTCTTTAATATATAATCAAACATATACCAACAAACAAAGGATTTTCCTACAGGCACTAACTTGACAAGAGTGGTTAACAGTCAAAATATGTTTCTGGTAATCTACTTTGTGGGAAGAGAAAATAGCTTTCTTTAATGTAACAAAAATGCTTCAGAAATGGTGTCCCCTGCAGATTAAATTTTTTGTTTGTTTTTATTCAGAAATTTTAAGATTCCTAGTGTCGTCTGGGCCTCACTATGCTTGACACCAGGTTTTGTAGATGCCATCAGCGAACTGTCTGGTTTGGAGACTAATCAGTGCTATAACTTTGACAAACAGACAGACTGGTGTCCCCACCTGGTGATCAAGGTCTCGCTGACATTTCTACCCCTTAATTATGATGTCAACCTCACCAACGATTCTGCCCGGTTAAACAAAGCTACCATGATGGTGACACATCAGGCGAGGTGCTTCAGAGATGATGGTGAATTTCATGACACAATTACTTTCTATCATTATAGTCTTATCTAATAACATTATTTCAATTTTCAGAACAAATATTATTCTCAGAAAAAAGCAAATGAATGAGTCCTTCTTCAAAAGGTCTGATGATTTTCTCAGCCTTGCATCCAGATCATTTATTACTCGGTAAGAATGATCACTGTCATGTAATAATCCCATCCCACAAACATAGACAAACAGCTTTCATTTTCTGATAATAAAACATCACGTCCTATAACCGATGTAGTCCGAGGCATTTAGCTGGCCTAGCTCCTACGCATGCTGCAGGATTACTTACATGAAATATGTCTATTTTTTATCAAGTTTAAACAATTAATGCATCTTCTCGCAAAATGAAATCTATTGGATATCTTGGGCCTGAATGTTTGAAAATTAAAGACATATGATTAGAGTAGAAAGTGGATTGTACCCCAGTATGTGTAGAAGGTATATATTATATGTATATCTACAGAATGTTCGTTGTTGGTATGTGAAAAGGCATGCCAGTGATGACACTCCAGTAAACACCCAAGAGCTCATTACGGGCGACATAACCAAAGAATTACCATGTGTCGTTAACTTTGAGCTCGTTAATTTACAGCTATGTTTAAGCGATAAAACACTTCCAAACCAACCAAACCCCAATACAATGTGTCTGAACCACCACCACATCCCTGGCAGTAGTGGCTACCACTGTTTTATTATCTCTCTGATCACGCTGACTCTTGTCTAATCTTGCTCACTCACCTCCTCTCCAGTCTAACAATGGTTTATTTTTGGCTCCTAATATTCTCATTCTCTGAAGGTTAACAAAAGTTTTCTTTTTTCCTTTCTTTTTTTTTTGTCAAAGTTGCTCTAATTTTTTCCAAAACAATGCTCCATCACAGATTTCAATTATAAAAATGTATTTCATCCATTAAAGGTTTTTTCTTCCATCCTCTGTAGAAGTTGCATAATGCAAATGTCAACAAAAATTTCTAGTGAAAATTCATACTTTTTCTTGAACTTTATTTGCTCTTTGAAAGCTGGATATTTCCATTCTTTTCTCTTCTCTGCTTTTGCTCTTAAAGATAAGACATTTGAACACTCCTTTACAGAAATTACTATGATAATCTTTACCTGCCAAATCCAATATGGCAACCTGGATGCCATTTTGTTTCTTTTGATCAGTCCCAAAATCAAATGGGTACAAGGAGAGACCAAAGGGAACATATGTATGAAATTTGATATCAATTCAGTACTTCTTAAGAAATAGGAATGACAATTTTTTCTAAGCGAAGTCAAAAATGGCTGCCTATCGACTATTTTGTTTTTTCTGATCAGTCCAAAAAACAAACAGGCACAATCTGGGACAAAGGGAAACCCATACATGAAATTTAAGAAAGATCTATGCAGTACTTCTCAAGAAATTGTGATAACAAACTTGAAAAGTCAAAATCTAAGATGTTTGTCTGTCGGCCATTTTTTCTCATCAGACCCAAAATCAAATGGGCATTACTAGAGACCAAGGGAAATCTACATATGAAATTTAAGAGAGGTCCATCCTGTACTTTTCAAGAAATAGCGATAACAAACTTCACTGAGCAAATCCAAGATGGCCATCTGGCGGCCATTTTGTTTATTTGATCATTCCCGAAATTGAACAGGCACAACTACGGACCAAAGGGAAACTACATATGCAATCTGAGAAAGAGCCATCAAGTACTTTTTAAGAAATAATGATAACAAAAATTGGTAACAGCTGGACGACGGACCAAGGACGCAGGGTGATTTGAATAGCCCACCATCACCAGAAGCTAACAGCTTCTATTTATGTATATATCTACCAAAATTTTCTTGTTTGTGCCTTGAAACACCTGGCACCTAATTTCTTGTATTTATAATCTTCACGTAAACGTTTCAAGATAACTTACATACAATCATTACTGGCATATTTCCAGTAAAATCAATCACTAACAGTCCTGAATTAAAGTGCCTTACAAAACACCATGAGCTTGGACCGGTTAAAATTGAACAAATAGATTATCTTAATTAAGGATCTTTTCACTCAAAGAAAGAAAAATATGTAAATTCACAGACTCATCAATATTGGTGTTCTCCTATCATCATAGCTCAAGACCTCAAATAAAATGACTCCAAGCAATTCAGTTCTTAATAAGAAGTTATCTAATGATCAAGAAAGCCCATGACACTAAATAAAATCTTCATATCATAAAAATCCCACTAGAAACAGTTTACCAATTAAGTGACAAATTTCCAACAAAGCCAGCATGTACTGCTGGTTATTTGTATTCATCACATTTAAGTATGATAAACATACAGATTATATACGAGACAGAGAAGATAATACAGTATGTTTGTACCTGTACCAAACTGGGCCCAAGATCCTGGCTATTTCAATAGATATTTGTTTTTCTGTTTACAGTGGATTACCATATTCTGGTCTGTTGTCATTCCCTGCTGTGTTTCTTACGAGGCAGGAAGAGACTATTGTCATTTATGGTCAATATTAAGAGCTGTAGTGTAAGTCGTCATCTGGTCAATTCCCTGGAACAATTACAAGCTAAGGTCACATGACTTAAAGCACTTTGTTTCTCTGTGTCAGTGAAGGCTTATTTTTTCTTTCTATAAAAACACTTTACTTCATCTCCATTTGATGTTAAACAGCCATTACACTATAGAAGTAATTCTTGTTGAATGGGAAGTTTATAACCCTGCTGAATTTCCATCAAATCATTAAGAGTTTACATAGGAAGACATAATTTAACAAAGTCGGTGGACTTATAAACTACTGTGAGATAAAACATGAAAAGTCACTTATGAGTTTGCTAGGAAGCTATAGATCTATAATGTATAAAGTATGTTACAACAAAAACAAAGCCTTTTTATTTTGGATTTTATTACTAAATTAATTAATTAGTTCCTTGAATTTTTACGTGTTTTCATCAATTAAATCACCACTTTTAAGCATGGACATCAAAATCTAAACAGTCTCATGATTCTATTATACTGACAAATTCTTATCTGTTTTCTCATATCTGTACTGAATGACCATCTGTATATTGTGTATTACAGAATATAATTATCTCCCCTTTATCAAAACCACTATTTCTGTCCACACGTATAAAATCTATTATATCCTTATATAGCTGTAGACATTCCATAGAAAAACAACCACTCAAAATGGAATTCCATAAAATGTCTTCCAAAAACCATAATTCTACAGAAAAAAATTACCATCTTAAACTTGATGATAAATTCTATGGAGATTTTTCTATTTAACTTTTCCTTTGAATTGCATAAAATATCTAAAAAGTCTGAAACTTTTTCATGAAAAATGTTCACAAAATATAAGTGAGCTTTGAAAATCCGAGATACTTAAATAAAATTCTGAGAGCAAAAGCTGTCTGCAGTTAAGAAATGTCAATACCTTAATTGAGGGTTTTAGCGTCATATCCTCTTAGCATTGAAATTTGGATCAATATTACACGCAGTCACTGATATTGTTTCTGAATTTTTCGACAAAAACACAACAACAGATGCTTAAACAAGCTTTTTCATTGGCAATAAATCCAAATATAGAAGCTGAAATAAGGTTTTTCATTGGCTATTTAAGATATGGATATCTGATTAAAACACTATTGTTAAGCAGCACACAATTAAAAAAACTTGTGAACAAGGCCTGTAATGAAACCAGATCAATAACTATAGGATGTCTCCTACAAACTATTATAAACATCCAATACTAAGCAGCAGGATAGTCGACAGCTGTCAGTAGGGACATATTGATAATTCTTTACCAGACTGACAAGGAAAATACAGAGAAATTATTAATTTTTATGGAAATCTTTATTTTCACTCATTCCAAGAGAAATCTCAATTTATGAATTCATTTCTCCACGAAGCGACGGAGATACAATACAAAATTAACTTGAAATTTAGCACTAGTGCATTTTGTTGAGAGGATTTACCACCAAATCTTGTCCCAACACAAATGCATACTGATTTTGTTAAAAATAAAATTTCAGCCAAAGAAAAAGATGTTATTCTACACTGGTGATGTTTTGGCTATGGAGGCCAATTAACACATGAATTTGTAGTTAGAGTATCACAGGACAAGAGTATAGTGGATTCTATCAGTAATACTATCATGTTATCAAGTGGGTATCAGCCATCGTGACAGAAGCCTGAATTCTTGATTAGTATAATCATATATATAGTGTGTCATTTGAT